AAAGAGAACAGCTTTTTCATGGCGAGAATGCGAGAAGTCGATAGCAGAGTGCGTGCCTTTAAATTTCATCGTCAAGCGCGTAGACTGCCCACGTCTCGGGCTGAGGCCTGGGCAATACCAGAGCCATAGGCGCTGTTGCTCGTGACGTTCTCGCTCCTACCTGACTGAATCTCGAGAGTGATTCGCCGAGGTTACAGGCCCAGGCGTATTGGGGGTCAGCTCCCCACCCTCCGCCCCTCAGCCCCCACCCCCCCCCCCCCCCCCCGCTTTTACGTGGCCAAACAAGCCCCCCCACGCATCTCGCCTCCCGTCCCACCTCCCTCCCACCTTCTGCTTTCGCTCTGTTCTTTCGCATTGCAGAAGCAAGTCGATGAGTTCTGTCACAGTGCTGATCTCCGGCAAGTCGAGGCTGGCGGCGTAGCGCTAAAATTACTTTGAAACTTAGGAAGGGCCGCTATTTCAGTGCCGGATGCACACTCTAACCAACAAATGCTCGACACTGTTGTCGACTCATCATCAATCTTCGTGATTGCCTTCCTCATGCGTTTGACCCGACATTGTTAATTATATGCGTACGGACAAAGTAGTATGAGTATGGTGCTTGATCTGCAGCCACCATGGAGACCTACTCGAAGGGAGGGGCGGGGAGGGTGGGGCGCACCATGTATTCAGACACCGAACCAGCACAGTATACGGAGGCTAGTGTACTCTCTTTCATTGTGCCGCGATCTACACCAATTGAATGGGCATCTCAAGCAATTCTGTGCAGCTGACGTTCGTGTTTCACTGCAACAGCAGCCATGCAGGCTGCAGGAGAGCTTGCAAAGTGGAAGCGGCACATAGCTTAAGCCTCAACTCCAAGTGCAAGTGCAGGCTACTCTTCACCTGCGTGTGGGCCGAGGCGGACGACTGCTCATGTTACTTCCCTCTTGTCCTCCATCCCGTGCCTCTTGAAGCTCAGGCCAAATCGGTATGACACGGCACTGGAGACGGGAATGTACCTATACATTCACGGTATACTTTACTTGCTTGCACTACATACTCGTGCTTACACTTCGATCTGTTTGTTTAAGCCATCGGTTTTGGCGATTTCATGAGTTCTTTCTGGCTTCCTGTTTCTTTTTTTTATGGCGCTGTTCATGCGACCACTGCGGCCCGAGAGCGTCTGCATGATTTGCAGTAGGGCTCGTTGTCCGAAACAGACCTCGACTGGAAAAAGCTCGGCCGCTCCAGTTCAAACAGCCCGGGGCAATTCCGTTGTGTGGACCAAGGCAGTAAACATTCCTACAGGACTGCGTGACCTGCTGCTCGTGCAGTGCTCGTACAACTCCAGCTCATCCCTGCACTTCTGCCGAAAGCTCGCGGACGTGACCGAGGACCCAGATGGTTCTCAGGCTCGAACGTGTTGCAGTTCGGAGCTTTGCATGTCGCCTGGTGGATTTTCACTCGACTGTAAGCATCACACAAAACTAGAGGACAACATGGCTTGGCCGCAGAGGATTTGTGAAACGAGGCCGGCTGATTAAGCGGACGCGCGACCTGTCTCGGTTGGCCTCCGGTCCTCGCCATGGCTGCAGCGCTGCGTCTTTGAGCCGGCAGATGCTGGACCGACGTGCAAACTACCACCGCCGCCGACGATGCAGGGAATGGAATCAGTTCATGTGCCACATCTCACCGGCGAAGCCGAGCTCTTCCCTCAACTTCTGGCGAGACTCCAAAGATAGAGATGGCAGAGTTGTATTTGGTGGATACGACAGAGGTGCAGCTGCTCTGTGCATGTGCTTTGTTGTCTAGGAGTCTAGCCATCCATCTACGTTTCTTGCGATCTGCGTCTTTCTGTTTGTCCGTCTTTCGGTCTATCCGTCTGTCTCTGTATCTGTACATATATGTACATATATATATATATGTACATATCTCTCTCTCTCTCTCTCTGTCTATGTCTCTCCATCTATCCATCCAGTTGTCCCTCCATCCATCTATCTGTCTGTGTTGTTCTCTCTCTCTCTCGCTCTCTTTCCCTTCCTCCCTCCCTCGCTCTCTCTCTCTCTCTCTCTCTCTCTCTCTCTCTCTCTCTCTCCATCTCTCTCCCGGGCATCGGGGACGCCTGGCTGCAAGCCCATCTGCACTTTTTGCGGGAAGGGGAGCGAAGAACGAGCATATTGCCGAGGAAAAGGCTACAGCCATACAGTATACGATGCTCCTTCTGTCTCTCTATGTTTCGATGTTTGTCAGGGAATCAGCAGACCAAGGTCGTTTCTGCATTCCCGGTTGAAAGAACACAAATATCCAAACACTTCAGACTCTTGATTTGTCTGGATGATTTTCCAAGCCTTCCTCCCGTCTCTGAAAGAAGAGAAGGCGAGGAACGAAGCACAAGAACAGAACGGGAGACAAGATATTGACATCGAGGTTATGGCCGGTAACAGGTTCATTGCGGCTCTTGTGCCGACGCTCTTCGCAACAACCTCTGCGACAGTAGCTCCTGTAGTCTACACATGCATAGACTTCTACGAACAAGACCTTGCTAAAACCATCGCCAACTGCTGCTTGAATACTACCGTTCAGCGCGGTTTGATGATTGTGTGTGTGCGCGTGTGGTATCCATGCTTGTGCGGTGCGACGAAAGTACTGAGGATGAGCGGCCCTACCCGAAATCATTTGTTTAAGGTAAGAAAGTTATGTCTGTTAAATAACTCTACTAGTCAAGTCTAAGGTTATGCGTATCTTAATAATGCTAAGCTTAAAGAAACCGTGAATCCCAAAGCAGGTGAACAAGAGGAAGCAAAACGAGCTTCCAAAAATAGGAGAAAGGCATGAACACGGGTAAATGCAGGCAAACAAACAAAACTTGTTCGTCCTGCACGGCTTCACATGGATGCAAAGAATCGCCACAAGCTGATTTGAACCACATCTGAGCTCCACTGCCATATGAGATCTGTCTGCACCTATTGTTCTGCTGTGCACGTTCTGGTCAAGCAGTGCTTTTATCAAGAACAACCGCAGGCGGAACCACTCCACCGGTTCTTTGATATCCAAGAGGCACATGCCAAACCAAAGCCAGAAAGGAACAGCAAGTGCACAGTGCAGACAGAAAGACGACCACCAAAGACTGGACGGGAACTTGAGGAGACACAGAGAGATAGAGAGAGAAACAAAAAAATACTGAACTACAACCGATACTGCGAGCTTGTTGAGCGCATCTGCGGCTGTTTTGCAGCAAAAGGTTCAAGTGTCCCTGTCGGAATCCGAATCATTAATGCAAACGCGACGGCTTCACGTCTTCCGGTCACAACAACATCTCCTCACTGTAACTGCGCCCTCTGGCGCGTTTTTGCGAGTGCGCAATGTGACCGAAACATCTCGGCCTTTGATCTTGACGATTGTTTGTGTTGCGCATGTTCTCTGGCCACACAAGTAAGGCGTGCCCGGGAGCAATGCACAGATTTATCATCTAGCGTTTGGCCTTTCTCTGCAGCTGAAGCTCAGCGAAAGTTCCGAGTTTGCTGTGATGCGATTGGGCTGTCTTGGCCGGGATGGCACGCCTTTGGAAGGGGCATGGCATCAGACATGCTGGACAAAGGATGTGCAATGTCGCACATCTTGCGAGCAGGAGGTTGGCGATCAGGGGCCTTTCTTGCATACCTCTCACACTTGTGCCTCAGTCTGGGAAGGTTGGAGCGGCGCTTGTCTATCCGAGTTCCCCGAAGCAACTGTTGCCAGGCGCTGGACGGGATACAAGGCTCACGATGCAGGATCCGCAGAAACAGCCGCAAGTGACCAACATACTCCCTCAAAGTATCGGCATTGCGAAACTGTTGACTATACGCTGCAAGCATCACGGTGACATCAAATGGGTCGGAGAATTTGAACAAGCCTTCAGTCAAGAGGCCCCAAGCCCAAATGCCAGACCTGACACTTTTCCATGATCCCCTAATGGACGTCAACATCGTACGAACGGCTGCCTCAAGTGACAGTGCTCCGGGAAAGCGCCATGTTTCGACGTCTATGGGCTGAAGGCGGACATGTGACTCAGGAAAACCATGCGGTGCGCAGAACGCAATCGCTTGGAAGGTGCTTCATCCCAAGCCGGACTGCTACCCGCTGTGCCCATTGGGCCCAAACGAGGAAACAAATATTCGCAATCCGACGAAAGACAACGTTGTTCGAATGAAAAGACTCCCATCGCTCGTGAACATGCAGCCTCGATCAGCCGATCTTCTCGGAAGAAGGCTTCCAATGCTACCCAGCACCAGCCGCAGAGATCGGACCCCGCAAAGACAAGACCTCTAGCCAGGATCCTTTGCGACCCAGCGCCGCAAATTGAGACCAAGGCATGGGGTGTCCATGCACCAACTCAACTCATTGACCGACTTGGGGAGATACCGGTGAGGGGAGTTTGAGGTCCCATGCCGTATCCGAGCGTCCACTCTGCATTGAAGCAGCGTTTCTCGTACACCTGGAAACTCGAACTCCAACCTGGAGATGGTTCGGTCTGGTACTCAGTTAGGAGAACCGCCCGGCCAAGTATCAAGGTTTCGACCTTCTCCCGACATCCATGTCCTACTCCCTGAATTCCAAGCAGGGCGCTAGTGATCTCAGAAGATGGGGCCCACTCATGCCGGAATTGATGCATGCCAGCTCCAGCGGACTCCATGAAAGATGAGACTAGGCGAGAAACAGACACTTGGAAGTAGCCAAGATCCTGTAACGGCCTTGAACAGAGCGGCTAATGCTACGATTGGACATCGCGGCAAGGCCAACAAGATATGCTTGACAGAACAGCATGCCATGCCATGACACAAAAGATCAAAGGCGATTCTATTGGCAGTGAAACCTGTTTTGACGCAGCCTCACGACTCTGGCTGACGTGACATGGCCAAGTCTAAGGCTCCGAAAATAGTCTCGAAGCGCACTCGCCAAGGAACCTGATCTCCAAGCGCTGCTGCGCGATGACGTGAAGGCCAGTCAGCTGAGCTGAGTTCTGAAGGTATGTATTTATAAAGTTTGGAATGAAGCCACGTTCGACCGCATGCTCCCAGAACATTTCCACCAAAGCGTGCATGTCCCAAGAAGAACTGCATCCTCGCCGTAAAGCTCCCGGTGCCGACATGTTGTCCACAAAGAAGACGATACGACGACCACACGGCTGCCGAACGAAAATGCGAGAAGCACATATGAGCATCAACGTTTCGAAGATGCAGACTTGGGTCCTGCGCCTTTTCAATCTCTGAACTGTGCCGGAAGGGGCTTGGCCAGATACCCAATTAGATGACGATGAAACGACACATACCCGACCTAGGCCACCACGCCCAGACGCGTCAGTGTAGATTAGAACGGGCTCCAAATGTGAACAATCCAATGGAACGACTCGGACAAAGAATTTGTGATTGTAGTCAGACCACCAGTTCAAATCCAGAATGGCTCTAGGCAGAAGAAGACAGGACCATTCCCTAACTTGTTGATGCACGCCTGAGAAGTGACATCTCGCGACCTGGCCCCAAATGGCCCATGAGGCGAAACTGAGGCGTCCAGCAAGTTTCAAGGGATTAAGAGCAGCTCCCGCAGAATTGCTGCGAGGGCTGCTCCGAGCCGATCCCAAGCAACAAACAACTGGCCGAACCCCACCAAATGGCATGGCCAGCATTGCTGTGTGGAAGAGCAGACTACACCATCCAGGTCACGGAATATGACTCGGGAGAGTTCCAAGTGAGAAGCCTGGATTGGGATCGAGCGATATGCAGCCTTGAAATCCGATTTGAACAGGGCCAAGGGCTCGCCAGTAGAAGCGAGCTCTCGCACTACGAACTCCAAGCCGGAAATTCTACCCATCCTGATCTTTCGGGTGACAGAGCAAGCATCATGTACCCGCGACTGCTTGAAATCGTCAGTGCAACGGATCTTTGTCACCCCCTTCGAATCAAGTTGGGACACACCAAACCTCCGAGTGACAACACCTGGTTCTTTTGAGTCAGCCCTGACTGGCCCTGTCATGCGTCCCAGCCTTCATCCATGGTCTGACGATAAATTTCCGCATCGAGATCCGAAGATGTTTGGGAGTGACGACGGATTTGTTGGTGCCATGCTGCACGGCCCCATTCCTTCAGCTCATGTACAGACAACGTCGTGCTTTTCCGGACAGAGGAGGGCCTCGCCTCCTCATGGCGGGGATGTGACCCACAAGAGGAAAACCATTCTGAAGATGTTCGACCAGATCATGATCATGCCATCCGATTTGTCTGAGACACCATTCCAGCAGACCTAGATTGGGACCATGTCGACCAGCTGCGATCAACACTTTTCGAGCATGGGGGGCTGCGGCCGCTAGCAGCTCATCGGAGCGCCCGGCCAGATTTCGAGACCGTTCCCGCAGCATGGTCATCTGCTGATCTCTGAAAGCCACGAGGCCACTACCGCCCAAGAGGCATGAACGTTTCGTGCATTTGGCCAACCTGCACATGGGCATCGCAACCAACCTAGGGAAGGTCTGTCGTGCAGCAGAGAGACAAAACCAGACCTGATGAGATCGGCCTTGACAGGATAAATCGAGGAATGGAAACATGTGAGCACGATGTCCATCGAAAAGTTTTGTATCAACACACAGCCTGGGTCGGCAACAAAATGCGACTAAACAACATATCAGCCAATGTGACAACTAGTAAAAGACGTAGGAAAACCAACAAACCATACAGGACTCTCATAGTCGACAATTTTGGTGACATGTTGGACAACGTGCAGGAACCATGACATTCACTAGGACCCTAGAAAACACACAGTACACATTACAACAACATCGTAGATGATTCGAAAAACAAAATACAACTAAGAAGCATCATAGATAGTGTGAAAACTCGTAAAAAGATGTAGGAAAACCAACAGACTCTACAGGACGCTCATCGTCGACAATCTGGGAGAAAAAAGGCGAGACCTAGGGACATGTGCAGGAACCATGAAATCCGCTAGAGCCCTAGGAAAACACAGTACACATTACAGCAACATCGTAGATGATTCATGGTGTTCACATGTTTCTCTTGGTTGTTACTGTTTCTTATGCCTGCGATGCTTATAGTTCAGCTCATTCATACTGTTACAGAGCTTTTTTGTTCTGTCTGAGTTTTCATTACCTATAGCCATTGAGTGACTATATGTACTTATGTTTCCTCCACTGTTCATGCATTCATTTCCTACCTTTCTCGAAGTTTTGCGCGTTTTTGATATTTTGAGTTTGATTATCATTCCGACTTGTCCACTTGTTGCCACATGGTTTTTTATTGAGCTGTTTGACATAGGCATAGGCCACGTATGAGACTATATACATTAGACCCATTAGACACATATCAAATCACACAGATCTCTACGTTTTCTTCACACATCGCAAGATGCGGGCACCACATTGGCCAACCATCTCAGGCATGCCAAAGTCCAGCTGAGATGTGTCGGCCGGAGTCATGGCGCAGCAGCCTTTGCACCACTCTCAGTCCTCCAACATCTTGCGGCATTCTGGCCGACTAGGCCCCACCCCGAGATGTCCTGCATCAGGCAGACTTGCATGCGCTGTTATGCCAAGGTGCTCCTGAGCAAACAGAGTCGTGCTGTTAACTATTAACTTTGACACCAAGTTGCCAGATTTCTTCTTTCAATCTGCAAAACAGCTGACCAATGACTTGCGCGTTCCTGAGCATCCTGCAGTATGATTCTCTCCATGGTCTATGGGCAGACCGAAGGCTCAGTTTGTGGGAGAGGCTGACTCTGTTTTTACATTGTCCGGTAAACATATGTCGCTGGCTGCTGAAAGAAGCACGGCTACAGTAGCTCGCCACCTGTCTATAAACATCTATGAACTGTACATGCTCAGATTCACGCGAACATATCTCAAATGAGGACAGTCGACAAAGCACCGTCGTTTGGTGGCTAGCCTCTGGTGCGTTCTACCCAAGATACTGCAATCAATCCACCTCTGGCACCCCTGCATCTTGCAGATCCTGCAATGAAATCTCCCACCTGGAAGGCGGCTTGGTGGCGCCCCCAGAACCTCACTCGTATAGTAGTAACAAAAGTCCTGGTGGGTCCAGAAACAGGTCTGCAGGCATTCGGCCACGTGAATCCTGACTGTTACTAAGAAGGGACTGTACAAGGCCACTAATAAAACAGAGAAGCAAAAAACTGCACGCAACATGTAGCTAGACAAGTGCCCCAATGAAATAGACTACAAACATGGATGGACACGACAAGCTTTGCTTCCGTCCGGACACATGCCAGCATTTTAACCACGATGCGCCTGTGAGTACCTAAAGCAGCACTAGACATGGCAGAAATTCGACCCGGGCACTTGCCGACCGCGAGTCTGTGGCCCAGCGCCGAACCGAGCGCGGCAATTTGCCAGGGCTCGTCAAGTTCACCTTCAAGTCTCTCGTGGGCAGAGCCGGAAAATCTACCTCGAACGCCCACCTGGGTTGACAGCTCAAAGTTGATCCTGTACCTGGTGTGCCGGCCCTGCAATTGCACCGCGATCTCAACTTCCTTCTTGCCGTCCTGCTTCAGGGCCGAAGTTCCCAACCCGATCAGACGCGGCTGTTGCTCGTACTTATGATATGAGCCCAGTGAGCGCGACTTTGCTCGCCACCCCGAAAGCGCTTTTTACTAGCCCTGTATAAGGCTTCCCATCGTTGTCCATGTTGTCAGATGCAGCTTGACCTATAGGCACTCTGTACGGGATGGTGCTATTCCGTTCTGAAGCGACCACACAAAACTAGGCTGGCGAGTTGAAGGAGATGAACACTTTGTCACCTGCAGTTTCATTGGCCGTGAACAACCGATTCGAACCCCGACACTTGCGGGGCCTGGAAGGCCTGCTCAATTTTCTTGTTGCTTTCCTTGTCATAGGGCTGCCCCTGGCCTTTCAGCTGTGCATTGCGGAAAGGACGTGCATGACACAGTGCAGCCCATGGGCAGGAAGCTTGGTGGTCCGGCCTTTAAACTCGCCAACATATGACTCACCCCAGAGCCACTGCACGCTGTTGCGCGAGGCATTGTCCTGAAAGCTCTGGACTGCGCAGTCTGATGTCAGCCCAGAGTGCTCGGTTCGATCCTTGTCCACCTGGCCTGTTAGCCCCAAATGCAGCAAAAGCTCCATCTCTCTGCACGTTTTGGAACAGTACTCGCCTTGCCGACCATCGAAAGAAGGTCCTGTCGGGTATTCGGGTGAATTCAACTTCACTTCTTGTCGATTCCAATGATGTCCAGGGTTCAGAGCTGCTATTTCCAAAAGCAAGCAAGAACTGAGCCCGCCAAGCGTCGACCGCAGCCTGCGCGCTTGCACTTTGGAAAGTCCAAGGCCACCTCAATTGTACGCAGGCGGATGCAGTGTGTGCTACATCGTGCTGTAAGCAATGCAGTACTAGTCACATCGTCAGGTGAACTTCGCTCGAGTTCTCGGCGCTGTATGGGACGAGCATGCTTCCAGGAGTCGCTGCAGTTGATCTGCATCAACCGAATCGCGCTCACTTCATACTCGACTCGATTCCCGGAGTCTCGCGGTAGGCGAAGCTACGTACAACCTACAACTTGGTGACACGAGATTCGTGATGGTCATGCAGCATGATGTCACCTGGACAGTGTTGCATCGGCTGCTTATCGACAGCATACGTCGTCGTCATCACCACATCAGAATCAGGGCCATCAGTCGTTCCAACATGTCCTCCGTCTTCAGCATCAGCATATCATGCCAGCGTACATCTCCAAGCGTCTCCGAGAATTGAAAGAGCACGAACTACGTCCACTCCGACAATACTAGGACGACCATCTGACATCGACGACCACCATGGCCACGACCACCACGATGACCGCACCACCACAACCAAGACAACCACCAAGACGACCTCCAGGACCCGCATCACATGGAGGAGCCCGAGAGGCCGAATGGTGCGGCCCTGTCCGGACTTTGCATGGGCACTTGAGAGTTTCGGCACTGTGGCGGGAGTGCGGTTTTGGTGGAGCGCTTTGAGGCGAACACACCCCAACAGCGTTGACCGATTTGTCTGGCGGGATTCAGAGGACGACGCGGAGCTTTCGACATTTCCAGCAGCTCGAAGGTTGAACTGAAGCCAAAGTATTGTAGATACTACAATGAATCGCGGGTCCGAAGGATGCGGCCGCAGCGGGACCGCTCTGCTTCCTCCTGATCCTGCCCACTCACCTCCCCCCGTTCATCATCCCTGTCATCACCACCCAACACATCCCCCTCTGCTACTCCTCCTGCTTCAGCTGACAATTAACATCAACACCCAGAGGGACATCCTGACTCGCAACACCAGTCCTGCAGCTGCTTCAAGAAGTCGATGCGATACTGCTTGTTTGTTGCTGCCAGCTTTATGCTTACGCCAGGTGCCCCCTCTTGGAAAGCTTTCTCGATCTCCAGATTCGTCTCAGGGTCGTAGGGCTTAAACAGCTCCTTGTTGTTGAACTTGCCATGGAATGCTTCTCCCCAAAACCACTGGGCTGCAGCCTGTTCTTCAGTCGGAAGCTGTCCACGTCCTGGCTGGTGCCCTAGGCCCTAGGCGCAAACATGTCAAGGCAACCCTGAATCTCCGAATGCTAGTAGAGTGGCAAGTACGGCCAAAGTTTTACTGCAAAAAAGAGTCCGCCGTGCGCGCTGGCTTTCCGAAGAGCTGCTATGATCGCATTGCGAGCTTGCTGCACGACCTTATGCCAACTCTCCGATGTTTCGCCTGCTCCAAGATCTACCTGTCCACACAGCCACTCCGCCCATGTGTCGGCGGCGCCTTCGGCCCGGAGAAGCTCCGCCCGTCTTTGCATGAGCATTGCGCCCAGCAAGTTCTTCCCCCGACCATCACAGTTGTCTGACCAAAACAGATCTCGTCCAGTGGATGTGTTGTGCTCCAACCTCGAAAACTTGTCATTGCTGGGCCCCGCCCTACAAGTATGATCAGTAATCGTTCAAAGCAGCGTCTATAAATTCGCCCAGCAACAAGAAGGCGCCACGCGTCTTTTTCAGTACATTTCCTAGATCGGAGTCTTCAGTGAAGGTCTGGCTCAGGAGGCGCTTGAGGACTGGAAGGCTGTCAGGAGCTGCTGGCAAAATCATTCCTCGCGATCTGGACTGGACACAACCCTGACAGTAGACAGCCAGCCTCACGGACGTTTCTTCAGCTCTAGGCTCACCAGGGCCAAGTCTGGAATCTGCTATCAGCTGCCGAGACTTTGAAGGGGAGAGTATCTGTGATGGCGGTGCGATGCTACAGTCCGTCAGCACTGACGTCCAAGATTCCACTCCAGCGCAGTTCGCTGTTGCTTTCGAAGGGCTCGGCCTTTGCGTGAGCAAGTGAGCACCACATGGCACAAAGCTTAAACAAATTGTGCGCCGTGCGGTTCAAGAGCACCCTGGTATACACCCCTGCACACCACAAGCATTTTGCAAAAGGCGATGCACTCTCCAGCCTCGTCCTCATCGTCGCTACCTGACGGCTCGGCATCCTCGGTCGCATCCTCAGGCGAAAAGTGTTGCATTGGTGAAGGCAGGCTCGACTCAGGTGCATGGAGGCAGAAGACCGCTTCCTCTAACAACACACTCGGCACAAATCGAGACTTCTCATCTAAGACATGATTTGAAGAGGAATACGTGACATGATGCACTGATACATTTCTCCCCATCCGGGATCGTCAATCAGTGCTGACCAGACGGAGCAGCTGCAACATGGTGCAACCATCCCCTCCAATTCAACGAGCAAAGCGGGACGACACGCGACCGATGCTACGAGGAAGATCCACCTTCCCGCCAGCAATTGGTGCAAAGCACAAGCGCCGACAAGATCACTGCAAAGGAGTCCCGGACAACAAGTCAAGTGGCATGTGCGACTGAATGACAGGACTGCGGCATGTACCGTTGAATTTTCGAAACTACTGACACCTGCTTCGTCGTTCTGACTATCATTCCAAGTCTCCGTCGAGATGAGACTGTGTGGATCCAGCAACAAGTTGCCACATGCCTTGTTGCCTCAAGTGTACACTCTTCCTCTTGCTATGTTGCAGCAATGCCCTAACATGGTCTGGCATCATTGCAAGTCGAAGTCACAATGCTGGTGCCGTGCGAGGCAGCAGAATGCCTTGAAAGAGGCTTGAACGGAAGAGTTGCGACCGACGACGATATGCGAGGCGGCGGAGGTCCTTGTGTATGGAGAAGTTTCCTCCGGCCCCCCCTTCCCCGCCAGTCCGCCGAGACGCAATGATCTTATGAACATCATGGGAGAGGATGCCTGGAGCAAAGGATACCGTCGTAATGATGCTCGGCATCAGGTACCTGACGGTGCAAAATGGCAGGCTACAGCTGAGTCTATCCGCAAATGTCGGAAGAAGGACATGCGGAATGCTTTCCAAGGGTGGTCTCAATTCATCGCAGCGAATGTGGTCGGGCTCAGAGATCCAAACAACGAAGAGCACGCAGATTGGAAAGCACAACCTAACCGACAAAGACATTTCAGCCTCTTCGGCTCCAGATGCTCAGCGCGTTGACCTTTGGCGAACTGGTGAGGATCAAGCTGTGGAGTTTGCAGGTGAGGAGTACGGGAATGCTTGGCGTGCAATTATCTGATTCTTGGTGCTGCCATTCCACTTTGTGCCGCCAGGCCCTGGCTGTCGAACGGTATTGCTGCTGCCGCAGAGCCGAAAAGAGCTGACTCGCGGACTGCAGAGCTACAGGATTTCTTGCGGGTCCTGCTGAGGCGAGTAGTCTGAATTAATCAAACTGCTCGCATCTCTTCAGGCAGTTTTTGAAGATCAATTGTGTTGCCGGCCAGATGCCAGAACACGTCAAACATTGACTCGTGTATGTAACTGTATGTATGTTTCTGCACCTCAGCTGGCGAAGCCTCCGCTCAGGTTTGCTTCCAGAGGTTACAAGATGTCTCTACTCAAACACAAAACCTGCAAGTCGACCTTACTCCTAATCGATTCTAGACGCTCGTAAGAAGCAGAGATGGAATTCCCTTTCACACTGCTGATCACCTAACCTTGACCTTGTTGTTGCCACAGCTGCCGTGGTTGCTGTGGTGGTTGTAGCAACTGTAGTTGCCGATATCTGCTTCGATGCAAGCAAAGGCGGGTTCAAGTATTACCGGCTCCATATTACATAGTTGTGCACATTGCATCCTCCACTTTATCGTCAAAGTTGAATCTTGATAGTGACGTGGGCACTTTTTGGGCAGTTCTGGTGCATGTCGATTTCACGATGTGATCGGGAATTTGTCGAAGCTGTAGGATGCGGGCAGCATTTGCACTCTTGCTTCGGCCAGTCGGACTATTCTTTTCCGATTACGCTAGCTGAAGCTGGATGGCGATAGCTACACTGTGAGAGTCGCTTGCATGGGCGCCTATGCAAGCACCCATGTTAGGATGCTATCGTTGCAACCTGAGTGATTTGCCTTCTTGAATCCGCGAACGTCTGCGCAAGTGGCGGGCATAGCATCAAGCTTTTTGGATGCAGCTGACTTTCTTCGCAAAAGTCTAGAAGGTCAGCACATGGCTATCGGCGCCAGGGAGGCTGAACCAGCGGATTCCCAGTATTCCCATTCCGCCACTGCCTTGCAGAAGATGAAGCAGTCTTCTCCGGGAAGGGCCCGGAGCGCACTGCTGTCGTCCTGGACCTTCCAGTGCAAGCTGCAGCGGATGCTCGTGCTACAAGACCTTCCGGTTGTGAAGCACCCCAACCCCGAGATATAGTACCATCTCCGCTTGATTCTACGAGTCTACTTCGTGGAACAAGCCTGGGTCCTTGTGCTTCATGTTTTGGGTTCGCCGCTGGGCTGCCTTTCTGGCTTCTGCACTCAGCCCGCCCTTGATGTCTTCACTCCATCTCGCCTGTTCCCTAGCAATGGATCCCGAAGTCTTGAACCATAGCGAAGACTTGACACCTTGACAAGAAGGCTCGGCCCACTGCTAATGCAATGCACCAAATCGCAACACTTTATGAAATCTTCTTCATCTTCCACCTCCGACATGCGCAAGTTAATTCAGTCTGTCTGCTCATGAACAGATTACAGTTGCATGAGCACATTCGATACTACGGTGCCACATCATGTCTGTCGCAAGAAGTCTGAACATGTGAATGAGCATGCGTTGCAGAACGGTGGTGTGTGCAGCTGCCCCGCCTGATGACTCTTCTGGCCAGACTTGGCAGCATTTCTACCACTCTTCCTCGATGTTGTCATTGCCACATGTGCGTCGGACTTCACTCCACACATCGTTCGCTGTGAAGAACCATGCAGTGTAAAGATACACATGGACCCAAACGAATCACCCTGCTTCAGCAATCTACTTCTTCGCGGCCCAAGTGTCTGTGTTCAACACATCTGTAGCCTGTATCGTGGCCGGGCAGCTGCACGGAGCGCATAAGCGGCTCCTGACACTTCATCATGGTGCTTAAACTGCTTAAGCCCAAAGACTGGAAGATGCACTGATACAGTGGCATTTGTCTGCTGCTCTTTGCGACCTGCACACCCTTGAACCCACGCTCTGTCAGTCAGTGGAGAGCACGGTGTCATGGTGCGCTTTTGGCCTGGGCTTCCACGTCCATGGGTGCCAAGCCGCAATCTGCCTACAAGGTCAGGAATGGCTTTGTGCCCTGATCAAGTATACCGTAAATGACAAACTTATACGGGACATAACGACGAAATCGTGCCACAGAGAATCGGCTGAGTGCGATACACGAATCAGCTGTTTAATATAGGTTTATCGAGGCAGACGGTAAGACACGGACGAGTTGATTGGACTGCGAAAGCGACCGACATGGCTGACAGGAGGCAATAATTATGCAGCAGAAGAGCCTTGCGGTCTTGTGAGTTCTGCAAGAGTGAAGTGCATTGTCCTTTCCACCCACCTCCTGAAACTCTCTCGCTATACCCTTGCCCTTGAGGGTATCCAAGAGGTTCGGTTTGGAGATTCAATGTCACTTTTCACTAGCAAACCAGAGCTGCACACAAAGGACCCACTCCCCGCGCGCGGTTCATTCCTTCCCGTTTTTGCTTATCAAAGCACACCGGGGTGGCTGACTACGGAAGACTGTTTCAGCTGCATGTGCACTTCTCTTTGCGCAAGTTCGTATGACCAGGTTGAGGCCCTGTAACCCCGAAACGTTCTGACGCTCATGAGCGCAAAACACTCCAACCCTGTCGATCCTGAACAGCAAGGCAAAGACCTCTAGGCCAATAGGCATTGAAAAGGCACAGGCGGCCCCTGACTTGGTTAGCCTTTGCGTCAACTATACTCAGTACAGGCCGCCTCCGGCGGTGGTGCGTATGCAGGTGGTGCATCAACCTGCCACTGACGCATGCCGGCTCCGACTCCCGCAGCTAGTTAAGCCAGCACGGGGAGCATGAGCCACAGCGCCACCAAAGTTGAATTTGTCGACGGTTGCCACAGTGCAAAACAGACAACAGCACATACACATGCACGCACATAAGCACGCGGGAAAACAAGGCTGCAAACGAAACTTTGTGGTTTGTCGTGAAGCACACTGGCCCAGAACCTGCAGCGCGTTTATCCACTGTGCCACAAATATATCTAAACAAACAAATACATATACATATATACATATATATATACATATGTGACCGAGAGCCTTTTAAAGTTCTTTAACCTTTGCCTGGTGTATTTAAGATAATAATAGCCTGCAAAGTGCCCAACACACGGGCCGGGGGGGGGTCCCAAACGCGCGCCGCATCCCGCAGAGCCCTCTAGAGTCAGCATGTGTGCTGCTTTGTGTGTGTGTGTGTGTGTGCATTGTGTGTTGTGCGTGGCGTGTGCGTGTGTGTAGATCGATGTACCGTCAGGTGCTGTGCTGTGTATGCTGTGTATGACTTGTGTGACGCGTGTTGCATGTAAGGAGGGATGATGAGAAGACAAGAGGGAGAAGAGGAAGAAAAGGAGGGTGGGAATGAGGGAGGGAGTGAGTGAAGGAAGGAAGGAGGGGCGGGCGGAGGGCGACAGAAAAAGTCAACACCCCACAGTGATGTGGGGGAAAAACGTTTGATTTGGCTACCATTGTATTGTATACTGTACTACCAAAGCCATCTTACAATAGACTATGATACCGCATAGTGTTTTAGTTATACTATGTGGTATATAATATGTATTGCTTGTGCTGCGCCACATTCAGATGCAAACCGTCGATGTCCTCACACAAGCCCTCCGAAATGGGTAGGACATGGTAGGACCGACTCACAGCCAAGAAATGCACTGCCAAGTCGCATGCTGTAAACCAACCCAGCATGCAATACCTGTAGTCAACATCTAGAGCATGGCTGCCCATTCCTCAGATAACAGCATATGCTTGAGTGCACAGGCGTTCAAGCAAAAGCCGCTATGGAGATTGCAGCGGCCTTTGGTGTCGGTGCAGGAGGCCACTGTGCCTCTTGCAGAGACTCGCTGCATTACGAAGACGGGCCAGTGTGCAGCAAAACAGTTGGCTAGCTACCAGCACACGAATGGAGCATTGACAGAAGTTTACAATACTCAGGACCAAATCGAAGTACTGACGATGATGGTATGCAAGGGTTTTCACTCGCCCAGGTGGTACCTTTGAGTATTCAACAACTCCAAATGTGGAAGTACAAGTTGTTTTGCGGCAGGACTGTCTGAACGGAGACGTCATTGCGACAGGAAGTGATACGGAAACTCAGGCACAGATCACCTAAAGCGAAGTGTTCTGTAGACGCACAATAGTGACCACGGGTTGTGTAAACTCCCCGTCCTCAAATCCCTTCATTAACCGGCTAACGCATGGGCCAACAAATGCTAGCGACGTGTACTTTGACAAAATGAGCATCTACATCCAGGGTTCTTCAGCTGCTCCGGTCGGTAGAAGCTTCGAGTCTGGCAGAACTGGAGGCACTACATATGAAGAGATTTGCATGCCTGATCTCAAGCTCCTGTTATAGGAATGAGCTGTGCTAGTACCTGCTTGATGAAACACGGCATGACATGAACCTCTACACATATTCAAACAATATGGGACAGCTGCGGCGCATGCGTACCTTTCGCAGCATTTACATCCGCAAGGCAACCGCATGATATATTATATATAGAGTGTACCAAAAAACTATGCCAGCGGAAATCCCAAAACATTGATAGACATATCTGATACATGAAGCAAGCCATCAAGACCAGTAATTCACGATGGCCTAGCCGGTGGTTCGCTTCAGAATTGATCAAAACCACCCACCACGACCCCCAGGACTGGCGCTTTGGAAGCGGGAGGCTTATGCTTCCTGTCAGCTTGCCAGATCCACAAAACATCCGAAATCGCTTCCCCAAAATACTGCTCCAACTCAAGGTTTTCGACAACAAGTAACCGGTCCATGTCGTACTATTTACCATGAATGCGCCCCGCGGCAGTTTCGAGTTATCAGTCTCTCCAAGCCTGGCTGGCAGGCATCTGAATCTTCCCCTCGCTGTGATGATTGGCAGCTGCGGTGCCGTTGCAGTAGCTCTCCTGTGATGTCAGCATGTATACCTATCTGAAAGCGGCGGGAAACAGTTTGTCTGAGGCGACACGGAGCACTTCCGACCTTCTGTGCACCGAGAAAGATCAGGTAAAGCTGTGCTTTTCACTAAATGCCCAAGTGCGACCCGTCTGTGGTGGAGCAGGGGGCTTCTGAACATTACCGCCGCCAGATCAAACTGAAGAGACCGGCCGCTTGCACTTTGGGCCGGGCACCTACGTCAACCGTCCTCTGGCTGCTGCTAAGATCTTCCAGGCACCGTTGGGTACGTGGAGGAGCTAGGGGTCTGGCAGAGTGGACACACTGTCGCAGAAGTGGCCAGAGTCGCGAAGGCGCAGAGAGGTCCCAACGTTTTGGGACCCTGCATCCCCAAACGTTGGGACCTCTCTGCACTTTCGCGGGACTCTCAGCACTTTCACAGTCTCAGAGGCGCCAAACCATGAAAGCTCCCTATGTTTGGGGCCCTGCATCCCCAAAACATTGGGACCTCTCTGCACTGTTGCGGCCAAAGAGTTCGAAAACGCATAAGAGTTTTCAATATTGGGGTCCCACACCACCAAAAACATTGGGACCCCTCCGCACTTCGGCTATCCCATACAACAGCCAGCCCATGCATAAACATGCGTTCGATGCCTCGTTAATGTTCAGCGAGTCTGCGACTTCGACAAACGACTGCTTTATCAAAATAAAAGAAGGCTTCAGACTGGTATTCGATTAACATTTCATGTTCCCTTACCCCTTCATCAATATTTCTGGATCACAGAGCTGAGTTCTTCTTGGTACTATTGTCGCTGTTCAATTGTATTCGAGCACAAAAATGCTGCACGCTGAGTCAATAGGCAATCAAGCGTAACATATACTTAGCCCGGGTGTTTTTCGTTTTTTGACTGTCGCATATCATTTGCACATAGCACCTGTTCAGATATCCTTTGATTAATTACTACTTGGGACATACTGGTTGATCACTAAACCTCTATCTGGTGGCACACTCGTGGGGTAGTTGAATGGTGACGGCTGCATGTTCGCAGGTATGTCGCTCATTGAAACTCCAATACCGAATGAGCTTTAGTTGATAGGATCTACGTCGTGTTCAGGCGGTGAATCACTATCATAGGTTTTTGTACAATAGTTAGCACACATCTATCATTCCCTTGATGCCTGATTGATGCTCTGTGCCGCGTTTTCCGCTTACAGTACGTAAGTATCATTCTATCAGGAACAATGAATACAACTTAATCAATATTCCACTAACTATGTGCTTCATTTCCATCAGATCTAACTTATCCAACAGCTATTTCATCGTCTCTATATTTCAGTAACATGTACACAGTAAGATTTTGTTAATGTTCCAGCTCATGCAGATGGAATTCCATGGCATAGCCCTACTGAATACTTTCTGCGCAGTCACATGTGTTTGTTTTGATTGAACCGTCGTCTGGGATTGCGGTTGTGTCCCTACATGTCTTTCCACTCTCCGCTTCCATGTTTGGTCGTATCTACACACAAACGTACTAATCTATTCTTGCATGCCAGTATCAACGGTAGTTTTATTCCTAGTGGCAAATTGCTCAACAGCTGCGATTCACAGTATCTCGCACTGGGCAGACATGATACAGTAGATGCCTTAAGTGTTGAGTTCTACGTTCATTCACTTTCTGAGAAGCGTAAAACTACAATGATACTGTTACAACTGCCACTGTCCTGACTACTGTGGCTATAGTTAATGTTCTGGTTGCTTCAGTAATACCAGCCCATTTAACAGGTTGTACCTCCCCTTGCCTTGCTTTGTTTTATAACAAAACTTCTAGGTATATTGTTCCAGTGATTCACTCAGGAAATGTGGTAAATTGCTCAACAGCTGGTATTCACACTATTTCACACTGTAACCGCTGATACCTATGTTCATTCATAATTCTAAAAAAATGCAAACCTAACGTACCTGCTATTGTGTATTTTTTGAATATTCACACCCGTGCTTGTCCTATATTCCCAACATACACAAACACTCTTAATGTGACCATGGCGTGTTCAGCTAACATGTTCGTTGTCTTTCGAACTCCTCTGCTGTGGTAGTCTAGACGGTTAAACAATAAAACAGAAGTGAAGGGACTGATCTGATGATGACAACTGTATGATAAGGGGCATGCTTCCTGAAGGAGTCAAAAACAAAGAGTATGGTGGACATGTCATACACATCAGAAGCGACAGTAATTCAGCAGCAACAATACCAAGAAAACAGACGCCCAAAAGCACAGCATTCCCGGTGATAAGCTTCCGTAATGAACAGCACGATATCTAGAGAGCACAAAAAGACGACTACTGACAGAACCACAGGCTGGAAGTACAAAATGCAATAGCCAAACCGCCACAATCCGTATGCCAACAGACTCAAAACGTATTCGATTGAAAAGGCGGTCCGGGGAGTCATTCGTATCATTTCCCAATGATTTTGATTCGGGCAACACCCGCCAGAATCATCCGAATCAATTTGATTCGGTCCCGAATCCAAGGTCCAAGACTCAAGATTGCTCAGGATCTTGCATCTTGGATCCAGGCCCGAATCAACATGATTCCGAAATCTTTCGGACGGTTCGGGGGGTGTTGGATCCATGATTGCCAGTGCAACACCTCTGGGCAACCTGGATCTTGGAGCCGGGCCCGAATCAAAATGATTCGGACATGATCCGGATGATTCGGGACTGCTTTGGAGGGACCCATAACAAGGCTTCATCCTTTGGAATATGCTCCATCTTGGTCCGGGGCGAGAGTCTTGCGTTCAAAGATAAGGAAGAAAGTTGCGATGTACAAGCACTCCCCCGATCCCAAAACCCCACGTCCTGAAGCTGAGATTTAGGATACAGGGGCTTGGCGTGGGCGCCCAAAGCTGAGATTTAGAACAAAAGTAAGCTCTATGTACATCTGACCCCAATAGCGACCCCTCTGTGACCTGTAAATTACTTCAGCTGACGAGTCAAAATACTTAGCCTATTTTTAAGTATTCACACAGAAATCTCGAAATACATTCCGACTTAGCCAAAGCGCTAAGCAAGGCAGGTGCATCGCACCAAGCTTGTACTGGGACCACCTTTCTAGTGAAACTACGATTGAAAAAGAGTAAAAAGGCGCACTTCCAGCTTCTTTGCTAATTAATCTGAGCTCGTGATTAGTAATGGTCCCCTCAATAGAGCCAAACTCGGCCCGGAACTCAATAGTGGAAAGGCCCCCTCAGTAGAGATAAACTCCGGCTGCTCGTAATAATAAATCCCCCCTCAGTAGATAGTTCTCGTACCCGGTTTATTTGTTTTAAGGTTACTGTACTACTACTGTGCTACTACTATACTGCTGTAGTACTACTGTAGTACTATTGCAGTACTACTGTCGTACTACTGTACTAGTACTGTACTACTACTGTACTCCTACTGTACTATGCGATACTACTATACTACAACTGAGAGCCCCGGCCCCCAAACAACTTAGACCCCGGCCCCCCAAACAACTAAAGACGATCAGGGAGGCGACCCGCCCTCCCCGCACTAATGCGGATTCAGGATGTTCGGGGGGACGTCCCACTGAAGCACGCAAGGCAACAATTAACTTCTTGCAGAATGCTACTCCAGATTAAATGAATGAACGAACCGGCCGCTTGCACTTTCAGCATTGATGTCCTGTAGCTGCTGAGAGTGTCCAGGCACCGAGTAGGAGCTTGCGGTCTGGCAGGGCGCAGTATCCAAAGGATAGCGTTCATGGTCTCGACGGATACAGCCGCTTGCGTTATTGCACATGGTGATACGGCTAGGCGTGCGACTGCATCATGCAGGCAAACAAGTCCGCCCTCAGACATCTACAAACATTAGAACAACGATGCATTCACAAAAGTGCGATGTCGCAAAACTCGCGCATACGCAATATAAGCTATCTGCAAGCTTCGTACTGCTAGACGTACGACTTCATCATGCAAGGAAACAAGTCTGTCCTCGGACATCTACAAACACGAGCAAAAGCAATCAACGCTGTAAGCTATCTGGTGGCTTCGTTGCACGTTGAGCAAGTGCTCCTCGAAGTATCTCACCCTCTCCGTGCCTCGCTGACTGTCGACATCTTCCCTTCGCTGCGATGATTGGCCGCCCTGGCGCCGCTTCTGGAGTCCTCCCGCGCCCGGACCAATTGCGAGTAAAACTACATGGGAGAAATGCTTGGCATCAACCGGGAAATCCTCATGTAAGCGAGCACTTCACCTGCACCGTTCTGTGCAACCCGAGAACGACCAGGCAAAACTCTACGTTCATTGGATGCTTAATGATGCTTAAGTGCGACCCGCCTGTGACCCTTTCATACTTCGGTTGACGATCTTGCACTGGTGTACGCTAGCCAGCAATGAAGTTCGCGAAACTGCAGATACCTAAACCAGATCAGATGAAAGAAATGAATGAAGGGACCGGCCGCTTGCACTTTCAGCATTGATGTCCTGTAGCTGCTGAGAGTGTCCAGGCACCGAGTAGGAGCTTGCGGTCTGGCAGGGCGCAGTATCCAAAGGATAGCGTTCATGGTCTCGACGGATACAGCTGCCGTGAAGCGGCTGGCTGCGTTATTGCACATGGTGATACGGCTAGGCTTGCGACTGCATCATGCAATGCAGGCAAACAAGTCCGCCCTCAAACATCTACAAACATTAGCACAACGATGCATTCACAAAAGTGCGATGTCGCAAAACTCGCGCATACGCAATGTAAGCTATCTGCAAGCTTCGTACTGCTAGACGTACGACTTCATCATGCAAGGAAACAAGTCTGTCCTCGGACATCTACAAACATTAGCAAAAGCAATCAACGCTGTAAGCTATCTGGACGCTTCGTTACACGTTGAGCAAGTGCTCCCTGAAGTATCTCACCCTCTCCGTGCCTCGCTGACTGTCGACATCTTCCATTCGCTGCGATGATTGGCCGCCCTGGTGCCGCTTCTGGAGTCCTCCCGCGCCCGGACCAATTGCGAG